CCGCCGACACGGTGCTCATCGTGTCTGCCCCAGCGGTAGCGTCGGTGTGGTGCAGCAGCAACTCCACCGCGGCAGTTTCACTCGCCAGCACCGCGAGATGCAGCGGCGTGCGACCAGCGTAGTCGGTCGTGCTGGCGTGCAGCATCGGCCCGGCGGCGAGCAGCACACGGACAACGCCGGCGTTGCCGTGCGCCGCGGCGTAATGCAGCGGTGTGCGTCCACGGCAGTCCTGGGCGTTGATGTCGAAGTGCGCGTGGGTCGGGGCAACGTATGAAGAGAGCATCAGCTCCATCACACTTGGGTGCCGCGCGAGGGCGGCGTAGTGCAGCGCGCATGCCCCGTGCGCATCCTGCACCATCGGGTCCGCGCGGTAATCCACCGCGAGGCGGCGAATCAACTCGGGGTGGTACGCGACAATCGCGTGCATCAGCGGCGTCAGCCGCGTCACGTACCGCATGCTCGGGCGGCAGTCGGTGTTGCCGCTGCCGCGGCCGCCATCACCCGTGCCATGGCGGTGGAAAAAGAATTGATCCTCGCCAGAGGCATGCCCTAGGGGACTACGGCCACTGCCAGCAACAGCATCGCCCCCACTCAGGCTATCACTCTGCTCGTCAGAGAGCCACGGGCTGCTGCCAGAGGAGCCGTACCGCAGCGGCGGCGGCGGTGTCGGCGACATGCAGTTTTTGTTATCGAGAGTGCGCCGCACCACTTTGCGCAATTCACCACGCAGCGCATTGCCGTCCACGTCGGCGCCACGCTCGCAGAGATTCTGAATCATGATCCACGCGTTGCTACCGGTCGCGAAGTACCACCACGCGTCGGCGTCGGGCGCAAAGGCGGGGTAGTCCCCCTCCACTGCACTGCTGCCGGTTGTTGCGCTGGACGACTTCAGTGGCTTTGCTGTCGACGCGACGAGCGGCTGCAGCGGCGTGAGGATGTAATTGCGCATTGCTGCTTGTGGCAGCGCAGCGAGTCGTGGCGCATCGGACGGCCGCGGCGCCTCGCGAATGGCGAACTCCGCATTGATGCCCTGGGCATAGCAGATGAGCGACACGAGCGCCGACTCCCCCAGCGCGTTCTCCGCGTCAATGGAGAGGCCGCGCTCGAGCAGCGCGTCCAGCACCGTCGGGTGGGCGGCGGCGTAGTGGATGAGCGTGTAGCGGCCGTCGTGCGACACCTGCCCAATCGCGTCGCCGGATTCCAGCAGCAGCTCGACGAGCTCCCGGTCGCCGGCCGCACACGCCC